TGCTCCAGGGGCGGCTGTTGCAGGGGCGGCTGCTCCAAGGGCGGCTGCTGCAGGGGTGGCTGCTCCAGGGACGGCTGCTGCAGTGGCGGCTGCTCCAGGGGCGGCTGCTGCAGGGGCGGCTGCTCCAAGGGCGGCTGCTACAGGGGCGGCTGCTCCAGGGGCGGCTGCTGCAGTGGCGGCTGCTCCAGGGGCGGCTGCTTCAGGGGCGGCTGCTCCAGGGGCGGCTGCTGCAGGGGCGACTGCTCCAGGGGCGGCTGCTGCAGGGGCGGCTGGTCCAGGGGCGGCTGCTGCTGGGGTGGCTGCTCCAGGGGCGGCTGCTGCAGGGGTGGCTGCTCCAGGGGCGGCTACTGCAGTGGCGGCTGCTCAAGGGGCGGCTGCTTCAGGGGCGGCTGCTCCAGGGGCGGCTGCTGCAGGGGCGGCTGCTCCAGGGGCAGCTGCTGCAGTGGCGGCTGCTACAGGGGCGGCTGCTGCAGGGGCGGCTGCTCCAGGGGCGGCTGCTGCAGTGGCGGCTGCTCCAGGGCGCGGGTTAGGGGTGACGCCACGCGTGTCCCGCAGGGGCGTCGCGACGCGCAGGAGCCGCGCCTCGCGGGTCCCGCAGGGGCGTCGCGACGAGGCGGGGGCGACGCGCGGGTCCCGTTGCTGGCGACGGGGCGGGGCCGCGACTGGCGACGGGACGGGGCCGCGACTGGCGACGGGGCGGGGCCGCGACTGGCGACAGGGCGGGGCCGCTACGGGCAGCGGGGCGGGGCCGCGAAGGGGCCGCGAAGGGAGCCGCGAGGGGGCCGCGAAGGGGCCGTGAAGGGGCCGCGAAGGGGCCGCGAAGGGGTCGTGAAGGGGCCGCGAAGGGGCCGCGAAGGGGCCGCGAAGGGGCCGCTAAGGGGCCGTGAAGCCGCGAAGGGGCCGCGAAGGGGCCGTGAAGGGGCCGTGAAGGGGCCGCGAAGGGGCCGCGAAGGGGCCGCTAAGGGGCCTCAGGAGCAGGGCAGGCCACTAAGGGGCCTCGAAAGGGTAGGGCAGGTCAGAGCGCGAGGCGCGCTTCGGGCAGGTTAGGAAAAAAAAAATTTAATGGTGGGCCCTTAGGAAGAAACGGTCCCACTAGGGAACCTGCTCTATACCATGTGAAAATAAGGAGGAATGCGTGCACTAGGAAACAGGTGGGTACAAGTAGGAAAACCTAAAAGTGTTGTACCCTATATTGTCAACCCCACTACAGCCTACACAAACTATAGCATATATGTTTGACAACACGTTGTAGGTTTCGAACCTGGCCTACAGTGTAGGTTAAAACATTCCGGTTTCACTCCGAATGCAGAGGAACCACAAAGGAGCCACTTCCGTGGTTGTGCTTTGTCCCGAGCCTATATTCTGGCACGAAAGCCAAGCATGGTTGGCGCGAGGTGGGGGGAATACAGTGTAGCTACTCCGTGCGTACAGTGCACCCACTCTGTCCCTGGGTTGCAAGTACCCACCCCCCACCTCGGTACCCCAACCCCCTCGATATCAATTTTGGGATGTACGGGAGCGCGCAAAATTTTCCAAGGTCGGTCGGGTTAGTACGAGGTGTTAATATTTCCTCGTTATAGAAACGTGGACATATATAATAACGTCATAATTGGGGAAAAGTATGGTTCTTTTTTTTCAAGACTGCATAGAGGCATGCGCCGGTAAGCGATTTTGGTCGTTTGTGCTCGTCTTCCAAGCATCATGGCGGAATGATTACTTGTCTTAACAGCAACAACCTGCAACAGTATTTATTCTAAAATATATTTATAAAGTATATCCAACAGCTCCTCCACTCCCAAAAATGTGCCCTCTCATGTTGCGATCAAAGGTTGATCGACCTTAGGATCACCTCACGAATGTTCGCACACAGCTGAATCGTAGTGGTGGGCCCTTGACCTCAATTCAGAGTGAATGTAAAATGATTGAGATGATAAGAACATGTAACAACCGGCATATAAATAAAAGTACAGGTGGAATACGAAACGACCTGGACTAGTCATGTACTCTAAGGGGTACATTCCCTTATTGCAGCGAAATCCAACCGTGTGACTCCAAGCGGTTACGAAACTGCCCGGGCAGAATCCTTGCCACTGCTGCTGTCTGATGTTGTCTGCCCTGACGGTCCAGATGCTGCGTAACCGTACGCGACTCTTCGCGTCATTGTGCCTCTTCGCATTCGACCTCAATATCGTGTGCTCCGCTTGCTGCGGTTAGGAGTGCACAGTGTCTTTTCTCATTTCCCTATTCGTAACATCTCATGCGTGCGGGCGGCTTTCTCATCCCCACCACCAACCCGCACCAGCCGTCTTTGGACCGGGTCCACTGATGTTGCGCCACGTTTTCGTGTCTGGAGTTGCTTGGAGCATGTTCGCGACACCTCCGCGGACAAGATCTCGCCTCGCGCCATTCCCTTTGTCTTCCTTGGTTTCCCGGATGAATCCTCTGACTTCACCTTCTACCACCCTCCCCTTCACCGATTCCTTGACTCCCGTGACGTCAGCTTTGACGAGTCAGTCCCCTACTACACCCAGTACCCCTGTCGAGGTCTCCCCGTTCTCCTCCCCCTCTCTTCCTGACTCCCACTCCCCCTCCTGCTCCTCCGGTACAGCCCACCCCCCCCCCTGGTCCAGCCCCGTCAGGTGTGTCAGACGCTACCCCCCCCCCCCCCCTCTCGGTAGCTCCTCAGGTCCCGTCCCCTTCTCTGCAGTCCTCCTCATAGTCACCGCAGCAGCCGTCAGCACTTCCTCCACAGGCTGCTGTAGTCCTTGAGGGTGCTAGTGTCCGTAGTACGGACCCTGGAGATGCCGCCTTTGGAGGTGTTGGAGTTGGAGCTGAGAGTGTGCCTGCATGAGGTTCTGGTGCTAAGGGTGCTGGATTTGGAGCTGAGCCCGTGTCTGTAGGAGGTTCTAGTCTTCCGGGAGCTGGTGTTCGTCGAGCTGTCACTGGGGGTGCTACGACTGGGGGTGCGGGTGCGCCCTCTGCTGGACCTGGAGAGCCTGGGACTGGCCGCGTTGCTGCTGGCAGTGTTGGCTCTGGGGGTGGTGCGACTGGTGCTTGGGCTACCACTGCCCCGAACACTACTCCTCCCCCCCACCCCTACCCGACCCGGCACTAGGCCCTTCTTCGCCGTGCACGTGAGGAGCAGCTGGGGATGGAGCGTGAAAGGCTAGCGTTGGAGCGGCAGCAGCTGGAGCTACAGCAGCTGGAGGAGCAGGAGCAGCAGCAGCAGCAGCAGCAGGTGCAGCTGCCGTAGCAGCAGCCGCCGCAGCAGGCGCAGCAGCCGCAGCTGCCGCAGCAGGAGCAGCAGCCGCAGCAGAAGCATCAGCGGTCGCCTCCGCCTCCTGTCTCTCGCCTTCGGGCCCTTGGTCTCCCCTCCCCTTCTCCTCCCTCCTCCCCCTCTCCTCCTGTCTACGGTCCCATGTTTCCTCCTCCTGACCCCACCCCGGCTGTTTCCCGTTCTTAGCTTAAGTTGTCCCCTCCTCTTTCTCACATTTGGGCTTCTCGCTCTCCTCGTGCTCGTCCCTCATCCCATGTTCCCATCACTGACCTTCGTACTGTCCTGTTTCGTTCTACTACCACACGTACCAGCTCCCCTCGTCCGTCTCCGTCTCTGCTTTCTTCTCCCCCTGAGTCGGCCCTTACTGGTTCCCTCTCTACTCCTGTCACTGACTACTACCGCACGTACCGTCCTGTTCTCCCTCGTAATCTCGCCTCTATTGTTACGGACCCTCGTGCACTCTCTGTCCTCTGTCTCCGCCTTTACTGCCACTGTCACTGAGGTCGCCGCTACTCGCCGCCTTGACCACGCCACTCATGTCGTGGCTGCTCCTCCTACCAGTCCTCTGGCCGTCGGGGGTGGGTCTGCCCTTGGCTGTGACGCCCTAGAGGACAGGCAGTTTGAGCTAGAGTTCCTGGTAGCCGCTTCGCCACATCTCTGTGCCATGCTGCTCGCCCCTAAGGGAGATCCGACGCCCTTGACATACCGACTCCTCGCACTTACGCTGAGGCACTGTCAAGGCCTTGGGCCTCTCAGTGGAGAGCTGCCATGGACGCAGAGATGGCCTCCTACAGATCCACAGGCACCTACGTCAACGAGGTTTCCTCCCCGGGGGCGAACGTAGTCGATGGCATGTGGATCTTCGAGGTGAAGCGGCCACCGGGATCTCCTCTGGTCTTCAAGGCGCGTTATGTGGCCAGAGGTTTCAGACAGCGCGAGGGAGTTGACTGCTGCGGTGCAACCGGTACTTCTATGGTGGTGCTTGGATCGACTGGAAGACTCTGGATGAGGAGTTTCAGAAGGGGCATGCGCGGGTGCGGGAGGAGGAGGAGGGGGAGTGCGTGCTGGCGTGTAAGCAGCATGAGAACCTGGGGTGCAGCAAGGAGCAGCCATGCGTTAATGGGTACTACCTGCGCCGCAACACCACTGGTAAGGCGTTCGCTGGGCTCTCCAATCTTGTTCCAGTCACTTGGTAGGCTAGAATGAGATGAGAGCAGCATGAGAATTTGGGGTGCAGAAAGGAGCAGCCATGCGTAAATGGGGACCTGGGTTGTGGCACGGAGCGGCCATGCGTAAATGGGTACTACCTGCGGAGGAACACCACTGGTGGGTCTAGCTGGTTTGTTGCTTCCCTTGTCATGCATTTCTGAATCAGCTGGTCACCACTGGCATTCAGATTCAGCTCGTTGCTGCGATCTGTGGACACACGCTACTATGCTGGCAGATGCACGATTGTGGAGCCGATTTTTGAGGTGCCTCAAAGTCACGTCAAAAGTCACTTTCAAGCGTCACCTCAAAAGGCGATGCTATGGTGGCAGATGCATGAGCGGGGAGCCTATGGCACTGCTTGCAATGTTTCTTGTGACGATTTTTTTCTCCCATTTTTCCGCCAACCATTTTGTTCCCTACCCCTAACGTGAAATGACATACTGTGACATTTTTTTAGCCTCTACCACTTTTTTTAGCCTCTACCACTTTTTAGCCTCCACCACTTTTCACAGACATGCTGGTGTTGCGGCAGGCATACGAGTGGGGTGAGCAGAACTTCCTCAAGCCACACTTCCACTTCGACTCCATCCTTGACGCCGGGGCCAACATCGGCCTCACCTCCGTGCTCTTTGCCACCATGTGAGTGCTTGTCTCTTCACCATAATCGTGTAAGTTTCCATCAACTCCACCCTTCTCTCAAGCCGCACTTCCACTTTGATTCAATTCTTGATGCTGGGGCCAACATCGGCCTCACCACGGTTCTCTTCGCCACCATGTGAGTCTTTGTCTTCTCCATACTCTTGTAAGTTTCCATAAGCCATCGTTTCCTTGATGCTGGAGCCAACATCGGCCTCACCTCTGTTCTCTTCGCCACCATGCGAGCAACTCTATTCTTCTACCCATGCATTGATAGGTTTGACCTCCAACTTGATTCTGCGGGTATTTCTCTAAAGACCGAAGCCAAACCCCTGGGAACCCCATCAGGTTGCCCCAAAGCAACAATCATCAGTATAAAGGCGCCGTCTCGCAAATTCCACCCATTTGAAGCTCAACACCCATCCCTTTCCCAGCACCATTGCCTTAACCTTAAACCCTGAACCCGAAACCTTTAGAATTAGAACCCTAAGCTCAAAACTTAGACTGCTGTTGATCCCCCCATCAGGTACCCCAAGGCAACGATTATCAGTGTGGAAGCATCGTCTCGCAACTTCCGCTCGTTGATGCTCAACACACAGACCTTCCCCAACGTCATCTCTGTCAACGCTGCTCAACTGTTATACTCAGACCTTCAACACTGAGCCATAAACCATGACCCCGCATTTCCCAACAACCATGCCTCCCCCCATCAGGTACCCCAAGGCGACGATCATCAGTGTGGAGGCGTCGTCTCGCAACTTCCGCTCATTGAAGCTCAACACGCAGCCCTTCCCCAACGTCATTGCTGTCAACGCTGCCCTGTGGCCCCGCGTCGCCTCCCTCTCACTCACCTCAACTGCTTCCCTGAGACCTTCAACCCTGAGCCATAAACCAGAACCCTGAAAAACCTGCGCCATAAACCCTAACCCTGCATCTCCCAACAACCACTCCTCCCCCCATCAGGTACCCCAAGGCGATGATCATCAGTGTGGAGGCGTCGTCTCGCAACTTCCGCTCTTTGAAGCTCAACACCCAGCCCTTCCCCAACGTCATTGCTGTCAACGCTGCCCTGTGGCCCCGCGTCGCCTCCCTCTCACTGACCCTCGGGCAGAGGAACCCCGAGCTGCCCCCTGAATGGGCCTTCATGGTCAAGGAGACTCATGATGTGAGTTGCATGAGGATACCCGGTTGTAGCATGTGAGGGGGACGTGGTGGCTGTAGCATGTGTGTGGCATTCTGGGTGGCATCAGTAGCTGTGGAATGTGGGTCGCCTCCCTCTCACTCACCCTCGGGCAGAGGAACCCCGAGCTGCCCCCCGAGTGGGCCTTCATGGTCAAGGAGACGCGCGATGTGAGTGGCGTGCTTGCTTGGTGGCAGGAGTGGCTGTAATCTGTGACTGGCATTGTTGTTGGTAGTATTGGTTGTCACATGGGTCACATGGGCCTTTATGGTCAAGGAGACACGCGATGTGAGTGGCACAGGCAGTGGGGTTCCTGGTGACTGTAGCATGTGAGGGACATGATTGGCTGTAGCATGTGAGGGACATGGTTGGCCGTAGCATGTGAGGGACATGGTTGGCTGTAGCATGTGAGGGACATGGTTGGCTGTAGCATGTGATTCACCTGTCTCTCGCTCAACCTCGGCCAGAGGAACCCCGAGCTACCCCCTGATTCGGCCCTCATGCTCAGATGGCACGCGATGTGAGTGGCATTTGTGGTGGGGTTCCTGCATCGTGCATCGTCCCTTCCTCCACTGAGTCTTCTTCCTGCGCAGCATGACCGCGACCCATTTCTCCACTGCCATTGTGCCTGCTGCACCCGATGGCAGTGGACAAATGGGCCAGGCACATGCTGCTCGTACATGCTGCTGCCATTCATTCTTCTACGAGAGGCCAGACTGGCGATGTGTCTTTTCTCTTTCTCGTCTTATACCTCTTCCCCCTCCAGCTCGAGCCCGGGCAGGTTGTGGAGGACTCCCCTCTTGGCGTGACCGTGCCCTTCCTCCTCAAAGTTTTCGGGCTGCCCGGATTCGACTTCCTCAAGATCGACATCGAGGGCAGTGAGGGCGAGGTTTTTCGCGAGGACAGGGAGATGGACCCGGGGTGGGTGAACGAGTCGAAGCTGGCAGCACTGGAGCTGCATGGAGACATGGTGCCAGGATCGAACGTGACTGTATTGAATTTCTTCAACAGTCGCAGCGATTTTCATCACAAGAAGGACTGGTCGGGGGAGTACGAGGTGTTTATGCGTAACGACGCTAATCTGTCCTAGTTACAGAGACGTGAGCAATATAGTAAAATACATTGACAACCGAGCATTTGTCCTTAGACAGCATGGGGTGAGAGGTTAGTGCTCAGCGTACTATGTTTTGCTGTGAGGACCGGGAGATGGACCTGGGGTGGGTGAACGAGTCAAAGCTGGCAGCTTTGGATCTACATGGAGACATGGTGCCGGGCTCAAATGTGACTGCATTGAATCTCTTCAACAGTCGCAGCAACGTGCACCACACGAAGGCATGACAATCCTTCCAGGCCTGGCCCGACCCGACCCGACCCGAATACCGGGTGGGTCAGGTCAACTCGGGTCGGATTTGGGAATCCAATGGGCCTGCCTGACCCATCCGGTGGTGGGTCGGGTTCGAACCTGCCTATCTATAGGCTTAGGTTGTGAATTTGTTTAGTGTTGTGTTATATATAATGCTTATACGTTCGTATGGGGTTAAACTTGTAGGTTAAACTTGTATGCTTATACTTTCTATGCTAGAAAGGCATAGTGCCAGCGTAGCGGAAACGTGTTTGTAGAAAAGAACACGATAGAAACCTTGCATTGATCATTGAAAAGTAGAATGATAGCACAATGATGACTGTACGACGCTGTTGTTGCGCGCTACTCCTCCCCTGGCACTGCTGCCCTTAGCCGCCTCATGCTGTCGTACCTGTCCCCGGACCTAGCTGCGTTTGCCACAGTCGCTGACCTCATTACGCACCTCCGCACTAGTGACACCCGCTACCGCGCTGCGCTTCCTGCTGAGTTCTGCGCCGCGAACCCCCCCCCCCTATGTACATCACTCTCTACTACCTCGTCACCCGGCTCCCTGACTCCCTTCGCTCAGTCAGGGACCACTTCCTCTCCCTTTGCCCCACCACACTCACCGTTGATCTCCTCGAGGAGCGCCTCCTTGCAGCTGAGAAGAGTATAGTCGCTGTAGGAGCCTCTCGTGGTGACCCTCGTGCCCCTTTCTTTGAGGGGTGCTCCCCTGTCCCCCTTTTGCCCTCTGTTGCCTCTGCTGCTGTTGTCGACCTCGTTGGCACTGAGTCGGTCGGCGCTGCGTCTGCTCCCAGTAAGAGGCGCCGCAGCGGCAAGAGCAAGGGGGGCAAGGGTGCTGGAGGGGATGGCGGGGGCGGCGGTGGTGGCGGTGGAGGAGGCGGAGGGGGTGGGGGTGGAGGTGGGGGTGGTGGAGGGAGTGGGGGCTTCGGTAGCGGTGGTGGAGGTGGAGGCGGCGGAGGCAGCGGCAGTGGGGGTGGAGGTGGCAGCGGCGGCGGCGGTGGTGGGGGTGGCGGCGGCGGTGGTGCTGGTCGGGGTGGCGCTGTGCAGCGGGGAGGCTTTGGCAGTGGTCAGCGCCAGCAGCAGCAGCGCTCTCGTGAGACCCTATCGCCCCAGCAGCTTCGTGAGTGGTACGCTGGGCGTGGGAGGTCTGGGGGTGCCGGTCCCTGCACGTACGTTCTCCGCACCAGCGACCGCAATGGAGAGACGTGCGGTGGCCCGCACGCCATGCTCCGCTGTTTCGGCCGCCTGACTGACGCCTGGCGTACACAGTTTCCTGACTCCACTGAGATCCCTCGCTGGGGTGATCTGCTTAAGTCGGGGGTTGCCATCTTTGATCTTGATTATGATGCTATCCTTGCTGCTATGTATGCTGTGTCTATTAGTGCCGAGGGTGACTGTTACCTGTGTGTTCCGCCCGACCCGGGCATTGAGGCTGCTGCTCTAGGTGCTAGTGAGTCTGCTGCTCCAGGTGCTGGTGAGGGTGCTCTCTCAGGTACCGCGTCAGCTCAGGCCTTGCACACTTTCACCCTTGACTCGGGTGCTTCCCGCTCCTTCTTTCGCAACTGCACCACACTCTCGCCGCTCAGTCGGCCAGTGGCAGTCTCTCTGGCTGACCCCTCTGGGGGTCCGGTCCTTGCACATTCCTCCACGATCCTGCCGTGTCCGGCGGTCCCGTCTAGCTCTCTGTCTGGCCTCCACCTCCCCTCGTTCCCCACGAACTTGGTGAGTGGAGCTGACCTTCAGGACGCGTGGGTTGACCAGTTCACTCTTGGAGGTCAGCGGGTGACCCACTGTTCGTGTACTCGGACGGGCCGGCACCTGGCCACGTTCATCCGTTAGCCTGGGTCGAGCCTGTACACCCTGACTACCGGGTCTCCTCCCGTTTCTGCGTCTAGTCAGGCAGCTGCGTCGGGTCAGGTGTTTGCTGCAGCGTCCCGGTCTGGTCCTGAGTCTGCCCCCTGCCCGTCTCGCCTCCTGTCTCACCAGACTCTCCTCTGGCACCACCGCCTTGGTCACCCCTCCCTGCCTCGTCTCCGAGGCATGGCCTCCCGTGTCCTTGTCACTGGTCTTCCCCGGTCTCTCCCTCCCCTTCCTCCGGGGCCTGCCCCTACCTGCGTTACGTTTCTCGAGGCTTCAGTCAGCGATAGGGAGTTTACTTCTTCCAGACCTCCTCCCCGACCCCGAAGATGACCACTCTTCGGGTTCTGCTGCACGTCGCTGCTCAGCGTGACTACGAGCTTCACTCTCTTGACTTCAACACTGCTTTCCTACAGGGCAGCCTGCACGAGGAGATCTGGCTGCGCCGCCCACCTGGCTTCACTGGGTCGTTTCCTCCTGGTACCCAGTGGAGCCTTCGGCGGCCAGTCTACGGTCTCCGCCAGGCGCCTCGTGAGTGGCACGACACACAGAGGACTACGCTTGCGGCTCTTGGGTTTGCTCCTTCTACTGCTGACCCGTCGCTGTTTCTGCGCACCGACACTTCGCTGCCGCCGTTCTACATCCTCGTGTACGTCGACGACTTGGTCTTTGCCACTCCTGACACTGAGGGGCTCGCCCACGTGAAGTCGGAGCTGCAGAAGAGGCACACGTGCACAGACCTGGGTGAACTGCGTAGCTATCTTGGCTTGCAGATCACCCGGGACAGAGCACGGCGCACCATTACCTTGACTCAGTCACACATGGTGCAGCAGGTCCTTCAGCGCTTCAACTTCACGTACTCCTCGCCTCAGGCCACTCCTCTGTCTACTCGCCACTCGCTCTCAGCTCTGCCTTCGGATGAGTCCGTAGAGCCGAGTGGCCCGTACCCAGAGCTTGTTGGCTGCCTCATGTACCTGATGACCTGCACTCGACCTGACTTGGCATACCCTCTTAGCATCTTAGCACGCTATGTTGCTCCTGGGAGACGACTGTGCGGAGATAACTACTACAACGGGAGCTAGACTACAGGCTAGGCACGGGTGCTTGTGTGATCTCTGCGTTCGTTGGTCCTTAGTCGTTTTCCTAGTGCACACACAGCTTGCTAGTTCACGGGGAGAATTGGCAAGAGTTTCACAAGAGAAAGTTGACAACAATGGTACAATGAAGTTGGCATGGCAAGACTACATCAGAGCTAGCATTCAGGTCGGTCGACTGCCAGCACAGCATGGTCGACCGCGTTCCAGCACGACTTGGTCAACCGCGCTCCAGCAGTGCAAAGTCGACAGCGTGCCAACGCTGCAGGTTGATGGCGTGCCAGCGTTGCTCCCGTAGAACAGCAGCGCACCTACTTCGCAGGTGCTCGTAGATGATTGGAGGGCTAAGCCTCGTCACCTGAACAGCGCACGCACCAAGTCATCTTCGTGCTGACGGCTCCACCTGATCCGCCACGTCGACCTCGGGATACCACCACCGAGGTCGGACTCGCCAACTTCGCCTGGGCGACCGTCGCACTCCTTCGCAGAACCTCGTCACCCAGGTATCCTGGTCGACCGGGCAACCATGTCGACCAGCTGCTCCTGTATGTGCTCGTCGACCTCCCAAGTCGAGGACCACACCAAGTCGACCTCACCAGGTCGACCACTCCTCTGGTCGACCAGCTCCAGGTCGACGTCACTCCTGGTCGACCAGCTCCACGTCCACCAGCGCAGTTGTCAGCCGACCACCCAAGTCGGCTACCCAAAGTCGGCGTCACCAAGTCGACGCCCCTTCTACGTCGGCGCCGACTTCCAGACTGACCTCTTGAAGTCGGCGACCTCCCAAGTCGGCGACCTCCCAAGTCGGCGACCTTGCAAGTCGGCGACCTTGCAAGTCGGTGACCTTGCAAGTCGATGACCTTGCAAGTCGGTGACCTGGCAAGTCGGTGACCTTGCAAGTCGATGACCTTGCAAGTCGGTGACCTGGCAAGTCGGTGACCTTGCAAGTCGGCGCCGACTTCCAGGTCGACGTGCCACATCGCCGACCACCAGTTGAAGTCAGCCGCCGGCTTCCCAAGTCGGCGGCATTGCAGTGGCCCCGTGCAAGTCGACCAACCCCGTCGACCAGCTCGCCCAAGTCGGCGTCGCCCACTGCTGCAAGTCGGCTGTACCTTCCGTACACCCCACCACGAAGTCGGCTCCGCCCAAGCGTGGACGGGGCCAACACACAACTCCCGTTGACACTCCCCTGCCGCGTTCACGCTTGGCCCCCCCCCCAAGTCCACTCGGCAGTACTCCTCGGAGAATAGCTCGTCGACGTGCACCCAACACACAGCACGTCGTCCACCGCACCAGCCATGCAAGAGGGCATGGCACCTACTGCTGCACGTCGTCATCTTCGTCGCCCACGTCGGCCAAGCACACCTGGCCGATGGAGACGGAGCACCGGTTGAAGGCCGGATAGTGCAGCGCCTTCGTCAGGAAGTCGGCCGGTTGCTCAATGGTCGGGATGTACCTCAGCGAGAACTTCCCGCGCTTCACCATGTGCTGCAGCCAGGCCTGTCGCCGCTCCATGTGCTTGAGGTTGCCCGTCAACCCCATGCCCCCGGCGACTGTGATGGCCGACTTGTTGTCCACCCGAAGGACGGTCGGCTTCCCGGCATCCAGCTGCCGGAACTCTGCAAGGAGGAAGCGAAGTCGGCGTCCTTCCTTGCCGGCTTCGGTGGCTGCCACGTACTCCGACTCAGTCGACGACAACGTCGCGCACTTGATGCGCTGGCTCGACCAGGAGACTGCGGCCCCTCCATAGACGAACACGTAGCCACCCGTGCT